GCACTGGGGGCTGTCCTGAGCATTACAGGGGTGTCAGCAGCCCCAGGGCCTTTGCTCACTAGATGCCAGTAGTGCTCCTTTTCCATTTATGACAACTGAAAATGCTTCAGGACATTGCTAAATGTCCCCTGGGAGGCCAAACCACCCAGGTTGAGAAGCCCTGGGCTAAGCGATTTGCATACATCATAGCACTTAATCAACTACCCAGCCCCGCTATTCTGCCATTTGCAGGGCTGGTGCCTGACGCACAGGGAAGTTCAATGTCACACCCGCATCTCCACCCGAGGGAGCAGCAGGGCTGTGTGTCCCCAGAGCTGTGCTTTTTCACCAGAGTATTCTCTGTCACCCTGAGAAGTGCGGTGGGGTTTTCCTAGAAACCCTTGTTTCCTACTCTAGCTGAGAAAATTCTTTTGAAAAGAAGGCTTCCAATTTGTTCCCTCCTTTGTTCAACCCATAGTTTTGGAGGACATGTGAGGTGCCAGGCACCGTTTCGGGTGCTGGGAGGGATGCCACCGTGAATGAGATCATAAAAACCCCAGCCTTGTGGGGTTGAGAATATGTGCAAATATGCAGCGTCTCAGTCCCTGAGCAGCTTCTCCCTGAGCAGCTTCGGGACAAGGGAAAGGGCAGTGTGGCCACGTCATTACCCAGGTGACAGCTTACGGTGACACTGCTTTTCTTCCTAGTGTTACTTACTGATGTTGTTATCGTTATTCTGTTATTCTCCTAACAGTGACCTCAGTTTAAGAGCTTTACTCCAGCCCACCTTTGAATTCCCAGGCACCGCAATTTAGCTTTTAAAACCGAACTCTGGGCTACCTCGGTAGAAATTGAAAAGAGGCCCAGGATCAGAAAGCATATGTATTTTTAACGCTGTATTGAAAAATACCTGCTCAGCACTTTTTTCAGGTCCAATCAGTTAAATTTCTTCTCGCTTTCTCTCCCTTCTTGGGTAAATGATGAGGTTTCGATGTTCTTGCGAGTCATTTAATAATAAAGGCATGGATCTAGCCCATTTAAACTCCCCCCTAATGGGCTAGAGTTGATGTTGTGATTTTTTTTTTTAAAAAAGGAGAATTTTGTTTCATTTTAGGTTCAATGTGAATCTTCAATGTAAGAGCACACACATAAGTTTCTAACACTTATGGAAGTCTTTTGATAAATGGCACCATAAACGCAGGCAATTTCCTACATCTCGGTCATAGGGTTTTGAAATTTACAAGGTTTCTCTTTAATACAATTGTCTGTGTCGGCTAACAGGCAGTTTTACAGTCTATCCGTATTTATCATTAGGATAAAAAAAAGTACCCTCCCCTTAGATTCTTTATTCTCACAGGAACATAAATAATTCCAAATAACCAGCAATATCTTGGCTACATTTGATTTCGTAGCTCAGGGGGAAATAGCTCCTATTTTCTGTTAAACCCCTTTCTGCCATGTGCTTTTGAGTTTTGAAAGGCCTGGGCAAATTCTAAAATGCATGTTATGAATCTGATTCATGTATAAAAAATGTCAAAATGTAGTTTTGAAATAATCATGACATGATTGAAGTTCCTCAGAGCACTTTTCACACCTTTACCTTTGGCTACTTTGGGGGAAGAGAAGGGAAATGTATTCAGAGTGGTAAATTTCTAGGTTGCATTTGAGATGGTCTCAGCTCACAGATTTATAGAATTGTTGGAAATTGAGTTATGTTTCTAGCATATTGGTACAATCAGTGTGTCATCCTATTAAAACAATGAGATCCAATCAGTTTTCCCCCAAAATGCCTAAATTAACCTATCTCAATAGTTTTTAATGGTTATTTTAAAAATAGATGTTGGCCCTACTCTATATGCATCTAACTGCTACTCATATGTTATAAAATGTAACAAGATAAATATATGTGTAAGCGAGAAATATATTGTATCTTAGGTGTGTAAAAATATGTGTTTATTTACTATTATTTACTGCAGGTTGCTCACAAGCCACTTTATCAGGACTGTTTTGCAATTTAAAAAAAATGGAAAACGACAGAGACTTAACAACATTAACTTTTCTTTCACATAAGAAGCCTGGAGATGGGAGGTTCAGGGCTGATATATGATGGCACCAAAGAATTCATCAGGGCCCCTGGCTGCTTCTAATCATTTGTTCTCCTTCTTTAGTGTGTGGTAATTGTCTCATGGTCCAGAAATGGTTACTGGGGCACCAGGCATCACAGTCAGGTTCCAGACAGCAGGAAAGAAAAAGAAGTCTCTGCTTATATTCTTTTAAGAAGACTTTGTAGAAGTTTCACACAACATTTCTATGTATATCTAATTGGCCAAAACTTAATTACATGGTCGCATCTAACTGCAGGGTGGGATGAGAGGACTAGTAGATCAGAACTTGTGGAATACCCTGGAACATCTCAGCTTAGTGCACGCAATCAGAGGGAGCCAGAGCCTCCCAGATCTTTACCCTATTTCTCCTCTTTCCACCCTAAATGTTTGTTTCAGAGAGGTGAGGTCTCCCCACCACTCTTTGCAGGAAGCATGGTGCCAGCCCCCAAAATTTCTCCCATTCTTTTCTTTCAGGGTCCGACTGGGCAGGCAGATGTAGAAAAGGAAAAAATCGGGGGCTCTGAGATTGTAAGTCTTTATCCTGCTCTTCTGTCTTATGTCCATTTGTCCCCTTCTCTGTGGACTTCATTGTTCTGAGGTAAACTGCCTTTCCTTTGCTGTCAGGCTTTATGACTAAGGCTTAGTGGCGAAAGAACTGCAGGGGAAGTAAAAAGAAGAACAATTTATCCTAAGGAAAAATGCTTTGTCAAATGTCCTGTGCAAAAGCTGCTTATTTTTAAAGTAACTCACAAACAACACTACGATATCCTGTGTTCCTGTGCATGCACGTGTTTTATTGTAGATGTCATAAACATCAGTTTAAGTTTTGCCCTGGTCTAGTTAATCAACAAGAACATCAAATTCAGAAAAATCCCATTTAAAAGTTGTTTATAATTCTATTAATATGTGTTAACATTAGCAGATATACTATTTGAATGAATACTGAGTTATTTGGGTAAAAAAAAATTAATATATGTATTTTCACTACTGTTAGCATTTCCAGTTCCTGGCATGTATTTGTTGTACGAGTGAATAAATGAATGAACGAAGAACAGATATATCTGAAATGAAGGCTGTGGAAGGGGGATAAAAACCAAACAGAAAGAATTCACAATTCTCAGGATCGGGCTTTTATTTTAACTTTAGATATTGTTTCCCGTTTGGCATTTTGATTGTCTTCATTCAGACTCAGATGCCCCTCGGCACATTTTTGATCCTGCTCAGAGGCAATATGAAATTTACGCTGTCTGTCACTGGCAGTAATTGCTTTAGGGAACGTCATCAACACACTCCCCCGTCCAGGCTCCTGCTTGGGGCCGCGCCTCCCCCACACATCAGCTTAGCTCTGTCCAAATGCATGGCCCCCACATTAAGAACATGCTTTATTCTGCCTCCCTTACTCGGTGACACTGGAGAAGGAGGATTGTGACAGGGCTGAGAGGGGAGCACCGCTGTTTCTCATGCAATAAACATTTCCCTATCTTTTTCTTCTCTCATGTTGGTGGCTATTAATTGTAAACTTTCGTGGTATTGGGAGCAGTAAAAAGGGCAGTAAAATTGTTCCTGTGAATTGTGGGGCTCTGGATCTGTGGCATTTATTTGTTTAGATGTTTATTTATGACTTAAAATCTTTTTTTTTCTTTAAAGATCGAATAAGTCTGCCTGAGAGACTCAGAGTAGTCACTTTTTTTTATAAGGTTGACCAAATATTAATCTAAAGATTAATAAAGCTCTGCCGGTTTCTTGAGGCTGTACAAGGTACTATGACTTTTGTCCTGCTTTTTTCTTTTTTTCTTTTTCTTTGAGAGGAAAGTGCCTTATGATTTCAGGAGGGCTTTATTGAACTATAACTAGAAGTTTGAAGCTTTGTAATGTATCTGTCTAAGAGAAATGACCATCTCAGTGTTACTGGTATAATATTTGCTGGGTGTCTTATTTGTGGAAGACATTTATTTTGGAAGGAGAAGGCAGGGTTTTCACTGTCCACAGTGGGCTACTGGCATGATTCCTTGGGTCACCTTCGATCCTTCGAGGAATTTAAACCTGTCCAACACCCTAAATCCCAAACTATATCCTAAAGCAAAATGTCAACAGACATGAGCAGGGCGTCCTCAAACCCCTCTGGTTCATAGGGAGATGTCTGCTTCACTCACATGTGGAGACAAAAACTGCCTCCGACCCCTAGTGCCCATCACTGGTCCCCTGTAAACTAAGCTAAGTATTTTGTGTCTATGTTCATTTTTTTCTGTGGCCAAATTCCTACAGAAATATAAGAAAGTAGACAGTGCATGTCTCTGGGTAAACCACCTTTAGAAATAACTATTATTTGATACATATCGAATTACATGGCTTTTAAAAATGTGGAAAATCTAGACTGTATGGGGACTGTAGAGTTTGGGAAATGGGCTAAAGCAGAGGAGATGTGGCCATTGCCGAGATCAGTGAATCACGGTCATACCCACTGCCCATTTTAGGGGGAGATTTTGCTGATTTCTGGTGAGATAAGAAAAAGACAATTATGGAGGTTCTGTCCTTCCTACTTTTGTGGTATTAAAATGTCATTATTGAAATGATAATGATGTTAGTATTATTTTCTTAAGTCCTTTCTTAGCGTTGCAGAATGGGTTGTTAGCAAAGTATTAATATTAACCTAAAGATGAATAAAGCTCTGCCAGTTATACAGCATAAATATAGATGTTCGTCCCTACTCTATATGCATCTAAATGCTACCCATATGTTATAAAATGTAACAAGATAAGAACTTCCACAGAGAACTTCCCATAAAGGAGATCATAGCACCTGCGACATCAGTCTCAGCCATGTGACTTGCTTTGACTATTTCATGGGCTAAGTGTGTCTTTCCTACCAGAATCTTTCAGATACAGTATATATTTCTCCATTATTTCTTTTCTTTCTTTCATAGGGTATGACCTTTTCCATCTGCCTGGGTCTCAAGAGTGAGGATGACATGGAGTAGAGCAGCAGGTAATTCTATTGGGCATATTGCAAGAGGATGAAGTAAAATCTTATTGCTGCAAGCCACTGACTGAGGTTTGGGGATGCCTGCTATTGTAGCATGACTTTGCCTAAGCAAACCAGTACACTTGGCAAAATTAAGAATGGTCAACCCTCTAGGGAATCCTCAGGTATTTAAAATTTTACATCTGTGAAATTCAAACATCTGGGACTCATTGCTGTGTGTAAAAATAAAATGGTAGGTAGCAATTTTGATTATTACTCTTGGTCTATACTGTCCAGCGCTGTAGCCACTAACCATACACAGCTATAAAGCACTTACAATGTGACTAGTCAGAATTAAGATGTGGTGTAAGTGTGAAATACACACCAGATGTCAAAGACTTAATACAAAAGAATGTGAAATATCTCAATTTTTAATTTTAACTGTTCATTGAAATGATGATGTTCTGAATCTATTGCATCGTAATCAAATAGCAGCAGGATTAATTTTGCCTATTTTTATTTATTTCTTAACGTGGCTACTCAACATTTTCAAACTACCTATGTGGGTCACATTAGATTTTCATCGGACAGCACTGCTCTCCTAGGCTCTGAGGTCAAACAGCCTTGGGTTTCTATCTTAGCTCTGCCAATGTATGCCAGTGAGACCTTGTAAAACTTGCTTCATGTCTTGTACTCCTTCCTCATCTGTAAGGCAGAGGGAACAATATTTGCCTCCCAAGGATATTATGAGGGCTAAATAAGATCGGGAACATAAATTCTGTAGCCCATAGTACATGCCCTTCTCAATGATGTGTTTTTTTGAGGCTCCATTTGCATTGCAATTTGCTCATATTTTCTGCCAGGGAGGGGGTAGGTCAGTCCATTTCAGAACTTCCAATTGCCTCTGGAATTGGGAGCCTTGGAGTCATGAGTGAGAGGAACTGGTTGGGCCAAACCTTTACTCTAAATAACATAAGCGAGGCATTCTCATTCTGCTTCTATACTGTGGTGCCTCCGTCTTGGACTACTGTTCACCCTGATTTCATTATTTACTTCTTTAGAAAATGCAAATGGCTCATACACTCTAATGGATTATGCTGGGATGTTCATCTTGAAATCATTCATCTTTATTGATTCTTTTGACACAACACATTTGGGGTGCCTGAAAAACAAATTCCCTGTGGGCTACAAATTAATTTCCTTCATGAATTTACTTAAAGATGCCATGCTAGATTATTTTTCCTGATGCCCGATCCACGAGACAGATTGAGTCATTTGAAAAATGTCTGTCTTACCAGTATAAAACATTTTTATATAAAAACTCACCTCTACTTTAGATTCAAATTAATTTATGTATATTTATTTTAGGAATATTTGGAATCTCTTTGAGAGTTCTTTGTATATGTGCATAGCAGTGGGCAAAGTTTTAAAACATCATGAACATCATAAATCTATTGATCAAAAAGCTTCAAACTGGTAGATTGCCTCATATTGCAAGTTACGAATTATGAAGTTGCAAACTTTATGCTGCATAACTGAAGTGCAGGCCATTACCCTTCTTTGTATCTTCCCCAAAGGGTTTCTCCTTGTTTCCATCAGCAAGGCCTAAGTTAAATGAGAGGAGATTGCATCTAACATTTTGGGGAAGCATATCAAAAGTCCAGGATTGAGGCACTGTGACTGTCAACTCACAGTACCACCACCGCCATCAGCAGCCTATGTTGTTGGGCTCTGATATATACAAGGCACTATACTGAGTGCTTCCCTGAGCTTCTACTCTCCTGAAATCCCTGTTAGTACATCTCATTGCTTGGGACACTTTTTCTCTCCAGAATGCACTCTGGGATTCTGAGCCTCCTTAATTACCATTATTATGTATCCTTAGGTTCAGCTACAAAGGAAAGATAACCCAAAATAACAGTGATTTAAATAAGACTGAAGTTTATTTCTCTCCTATGTAAATAAAGACCTGAGGTAGGCATCCAGAGCTGCTAGTGTGACCTCCCAAATCCCCGGGGATTCAGCTCCCTTTTGTTCTGCTGCTCTGCAGTTCTCTACCTCATGGTCCAAAATGGCTGTTTGAACTCCTGCCATCATGTCCACATGTCAGTCAGCAGAAAAGAAAGAAGGAAAAGAAGGGTGTGCCCATAGCTTTTTAAGATGGCTTTCTACACATTGCATATCACACTTCTGCTTACATAAGTGTAATCTCTTAGTTGTATCAAGCTGCCAAGGAGGTTGGGAGATACTGTCTTGATTCAAGCAGCCATGTTCCTGCTAAAATTTAGAGATTTTATTAATAAGGAAGAAGAAGGGGAGAGAAGATATTGATGCAAAGAGCTAGTAATATCTTCTGTATCATCTTTCATTCAGTAATCCTTAAATAGAGAGTTTTGTAGACCTTATTCATAATGCCTGAAAGCCCTTGCTTCCAGCCAATGAGGAAGGTGGTGTTATTCCCATTTTTCAGATAGGAAACTAAGCTTCAAAAAATTTGCCTTTCTACTAAATCAAGGTCATACTAATAATGGTAATTATTATTACTGTGAACATTTTATGTGCATTGCCACCATTAATTTCTGGTCTCTTCCAAATTCAATGACTTGGTTCTATTATACCCCAATTTTACATATGAGGAAATAAATGTTGGATAACTTGTCCAAGGTCACAGGTTACAAAATAAAAGAAACAGCTTGTTGTAGAACACAGCTATGTGCTTCAAACTTTTTGGACCATTTTTAGTTTTCCATTACTGTCATAAAAATGACCACAAATTTAGGGGCTTGAAACTATACCCATTTATGATCTTATGGTTCCATAGTTGAGAAGTCCTGTGGGCCTGGCTGGTTTCTTGGTTCTGGGTTCCCCAAGTCTGGAATCACTGAGCTCCATTGTAACTCCGGGGAGAGGAAATCCTGGGGCAAAGTACATCTAAAACTGAAACCAGTCAAAGGGAGAAATAAAGTTTAAAGCCCATTTATTGCTTACAAACTGCAGTCCGGGGCCTTCTCTCCCCGGCTCTGGCAGAAGCAAGCAAGACCTCCCCCCAGCCTCTTAGGTTCAGGTAAACCCTCAGTTGCCCAGGTACTTACCCATTGATATAGAGATGGACTACTTCTCTCCGCCCCCAGGAATGCCTGTTGATATGTAGATGCACTAAAGCCAGCTGAGATATTCTGGAAATATTACAATTTTACCCACATCCACGATCTCAGAAAATCTCCTTGTTTGAAGATCCTCTGATTAGTAACCTTAATTCCATCTGTAAAAATCCCTTTTGTCATGTAACATAACATTCACAAATTCAGGGGTGTGAGGTATAGAATGTTTAGGGGATTGTTAGTCACAGATTGTAACCTAGAGTAAAACCTACCTTTTCCACTGCATCCCAGCACACCTATGTAATAAAGAGTTGAAATGAGTTTCAGCAAACAATACTTACCTGTTGAATTGTATTACTGTGCTTTTAAGAAATGCCAGGCTTGACCCAGCCAATGACCTAGAGCTTGAAAAACTCTGTCTAAGCTTCACGCATTTTCACCGCTGTAACCTCAGTCTCGTCATCTTCTGTCTGGATACTCATGAGCACGGCCCCGTGGCTCTTGACTTTCCCACTTCCAGGCCTCCTTCGAGAGAACTTACAAACACAGCACCTCTGGCCTGCACTGCACACGTGTAGCTTTCTCCCAGATATCTGCAGTCTGGATACTCATGAGCACGGCCCCGTGGCTCTTGACTTTCCCACTTCCAGGCCTCCTTCGAGAGAACTTACAAACACAGCACCTCTGGCCTGCACTGCACACGTGTAGCTTTCTCCCAGATATCTGCACGCCCCATGGTTCCCAGCTGAGGACCCTGATGGGCATTTTAAAAAGTGTCCCAGAGTGAGGTGATCCCAAGGCCTTGGGGAAGACTCTGACTTCAAAGATGGCAAGTGGGTTTAGCTTTGATCTACTGGTAATGTCTCAGACGGCAGCGCTGTGAAAAGCACAGTGAAGCCCATGAAGGTCAGGCAGAGGGTGTCAATTAGGGATGTCTGCTGTGGACGTAGGAGGGAGGGAGAGATGGGCCGAGCGCCGGGCATTTTCATCTCCAGGGGTAGCGGATGTCTGTCTCACTGCCCGCCAATTAGCAGAACCAAAAGAAACATCCCTCGAAAAGCAAAAAACCAAAATAAAAGGGGAGAGACGTTAAGCAGGGCTAGATCTGAATTTTAAGAAGAAAAAGGTCTCCTGTTTGTGTGGAGAACAAGATAAATAAGGGCCAGCAATTCACAGGCGGCTGAGGAGAAAAAACGAGTTTTGTAATTTGGGAGCGGAAGTGGGAAGGCTAGAAATCACTTTCTTAGGCTAAACGAATTCTAAGCTCATTAAAGCCTCTTGCTGCTTTTACAACCATCCTCAGCACCATAAATCTGTGCTTTATCATTTGGAGAGGGCTTTGTATTTCCCTCGTTCCTTGGTGGCTTTTCTGCTTCCTCACACCAGAGGTCAGGGGCTCAAACACCTACAAGGGAGGCCACATCACGATCTGGTTCAAAGCCCTGCTCCGGAGTCAGGCGGCCTGGGTTGAAATCCCAGCTCTGCCACTTATAATGGGCTTGATTTTTCAGCAAGTTGCTTAACTTCTTGGTGCCTCAGTTTGTCTCGCATGCCCTTTACAGTTGTGGGTGCAGGGCAGCTGGTGGCATTTGCCAATCGAAAGCCTGTGGATAATGCTTCCTGCTTTGTAGGTTCTTTGCAAGAATAAATAAGATCATGTGTGAAGACCATGAGCCGTATAGTCAGGGACTGATAAACACCGCTTAATCAGAATTGATGGCTCCTGATTATGCCATCCCTTTGTGATGCTTTAAGTTTTAGTTTACATGTTTCTCTCTCCCAGGGAGGACAGTTGAAAGGCCAGCCTCACCTTCTGTGCCTCTCAGTATGTAACAGGACAGACTGAATTTCATTCACCTTCTCCGCATACACCCTGCTCCGCACCATCTCCTCTCCCCACAGTGGCCAGAAGGATCATTACAA